TCATTTTAGTACAACTTACCTACCATCACAAACAGTCACAGTTCACAGCTGCTGAACTGTTAGAGGACAGAAATTCTGCTAGGTCCTAATCTATAGGTGAGAACTGTCTCTGACACTGTTCCAGTAAGTGAGACAAAAAATAGCTTGTTGAATACAGAAAAACACTGAAATCCATAAAAAAGTCCTTTCAGGTGAACTGAAAACATTCATTAAAGACTTTGTATTTCTTAACTATTTATCTGTAAGCAAAGCTTCACTTTAGCACCTATATCATTTGACATTTCCATTAGATATACGCTGCCAAGACACATCTGTATTACCTTACTTAACTGAAACGGCATGTCAGTGGTGTCAGCTTCTTTAAATTTCTCTGCCCAGTTCCCTTTGAAATAAATAGCATTCACCAGCACAAGTCTGGTCGAGTTATCAACTGAGCCCTCAGACAGCAGATCAGGGATTTTACCTGCAGAGGTAGCAAAAAAAAAAAAAAGTGACAACAAAATCTTGTAATAAGTTGATGGGATATAAAAACATATATGAAGAAACTGATGCCATGGGAATACTACAGATATAAAACTCTAGTCCATTCTGTAATGACATATATTTCAGTACCTGTCTCTCTACTTCACCATACTTTTTAACTTTTGAAACAGTTTTTTGATAAGTAATTTGATGAAAACATAATATTTTTAGCTTAAACTGTCACATTTGACCCACCATACAAGAACCAGAAAACACCCACATTAAGGATTACTGAATTTAGAAATACATATACAATACAGACCAAGACTGTCTAAAAAAAATTCTCCAACTCATAACTATGTTCAGGCATCTCTCCTGAACTCGCAGGAGGCACTCACAGCCTGAACACACAAAAAAGGAAAACTCTCAGGACGTTGTTTAAACATCTTGCTTAGGTAATTTCTCGTTTTGTGAATACATCAAATGAATATCCCAGAGCAGAATTAAACTGTTCTAAAGACAGCAGAGAATAAAGCCTATTCCTGCTCCCAAAGTATGAAACGCTGCCAGTTACTTTATTAACCAAAGTAGTTTACCTTCCGTTTTCTGCTCAACCCACTGGTTAATTTCTTTCCTGGCTTCATCACAAGCCTGAAGAAAGTCAACTGTAGCCAAATCAGCTCCATATAATTTCCGTGTATTAGTCAGGAAATCCTAGATTTTGGAACAATAAGAACAGCTTTCACTGCATGCAGATAAGAAAACATATAATTATCAGGTAGATAAGAGGTACTCAAATAGATTGTCACCTGCTTCTAACAGTGCACTGCCTGAGGGGGATTCTGAGGTTGGCAGGGTTTTTTCTGCTCTTAGAGTAAGCCTCATAGTACACCAGCCACATCTACAGCTGATGGGGTTCTTACTGCAGGTGTTGCAATATTTACCTGTAATTCTCCTGAAACAGGCTCAAGCACAGCTAGAATTAAAAAAAACCTCTCTGAAATAGCTGAAGAGGGATAAAAAATAGCAACCTAGATGCAGACAAAATTATAGTTCGCTAGCGAAGAGGCATGTTGTTAAGACATACTGAGCATCCCCTACCAAATAAAGAACATATTATTTAAATATTTAAGTAATGTGGTACTAGACCAATGAAAATCCTAAAAAGCTGATTGCAAGAGAAACAGAACGGCCTGTATCCTAAACTGCCCATCCTAACTGCCTGTATCCTCTGCTTGCAACAGAGTGGAATGTTATGATAGTTACTGTAAACTAAAAACCTACACAAGTGATATTTCTCTTGAGCCCAAGAGCAGCAGAAGCGAACACGCAATGAAAAGGGTTTCCTGTGTAACATCCTTTAGGTGAGATGCACAGATGCCTACAGCTATGAAAATGCATATGCAAGCAGCAATACTTTTGTCAGCTGCCCAGTAACATTTAGAAATATGCCTGGAAATACTTCTCCTTCATAAATACTCAAATAGTTGCATTTTCCCACCAGGTCCCACCACACACCATCATGTGGTGCACCAGCGTACCGGCAAAAAGCTGTAGGACTTCCCTCCGAAAAGCCGACTGGCGAGTCGTAAGAGATAGGGAGCATTGCTTCTGTTTATATCCATTGTCAGAGTCTGAAATCTTGAATGAATGTCTTCAACTTTGTCAAAATGAAGTGTCTGAAATAAAAGAAATTAACTAGCTGCTGTTAATACTGTCTTAAAAGAATTTAGAGTGTATCTGTAGGGTAGGTCTGATCCAACAGGTAGGTAGGTTGAAGAAAGAGAAAAGAAGAGGCTGGAAGCTGCTTAGAGACTTCTGTAAACCTCCAAGAATGAATCAAACTGTTTCTTGGTGCTACACAGCCCATGTCAGTCACTTGTATTATGCTCCTGGTTTACGCACAGTCACAGCTGAAGCTGTTGATCAGAACCCCAAGTCCTGTCTGTATGATGTCTGTATGCTTCTCCATGGACCACTGGGCCCAAGAACTCATTCCCATGTGGGGAATTGAAAAGAGAGATGGTGCCACGGAGACACTTTTGCTTTATTGGTTCCCCCTTGGCCAGAGAAAACCCGGGGTTTTGCTTTTCAGAACATACAATCACCACTAGCACAGGTGAGGTCTTGAAAAAACTTGGAAAAATTGTCTTTTATAATTTTGTGAAAATATAATTAAATAACAAAATAAATGAAAAATCAAATGCACTACTGAAATTTCTCTTTACCAGTACTTCCTTTTCCAGAGTCAAGCTGTCTGGCCAAGGCTTACAGATATGACAGCACAAGCTGCCAGACCTCATAAACAGAGAAGGCTAGAACAAAGTAGGGACATTCACATTCTAACTTAAACCATGCATTTCACAGTAGGAAGACTGCTATGAAGCAGTCATTGGATTCAAAGGAAAGCTTTCACTTTCTCTCACTGGGTTTTTGATCAGGCCCTGCTGCCCACCTTACTGCAAGATGTGCTGCACAGATGAATGGCTGAGCAAAAACATCATGTAGGCAACTTACAATAAAGATATGACCACGGAAACAAATTTCTGTATGCTTGCAAACAGCCCTCAACAATTACTAATCACTGCCTCCTTAATTAGCACCGTGTTCATAAGTAAAGTATTATGGTACAGGAACATGTCCCATTGAGGGTGACTGAGTTGAAACACATTTATTTCCCCCAAGTTCCTTTTGCATGATTTTTGCTGTCAGTAGGTTTATCCTAGGTGGGGCTGTCAGTCTGATTACATGAAAAATGTTTCAAGTCTGTTTGAACACGGAGCTAGAAAGTAATTTTATTGTCTTGTTGAGTAAGCACAGCAACAGTCAACGGCATAAAACAGTTCCTCCTAAAGTCCAGAATACAAAGGTGAAATTATTCATAGGCAATGATGACTCCAATGAAAAGTCTCATACGCCCTTTTACAGGCGTTACCCTAACAAAGGTGCAAAAAATAATAGTGAGGAAGTCTCTTTTCCATGCCAGAAACACTCCTATGTGCACCATTTTTCACAAGGAAGGTTTTTTTAACTATCTTACCTAATCTAAGGCTATGCTAAGGATAACCATGCAAGCTTAGCTCCTCAGAGATATCTGAGGGCCTAGCTGACTAAGATATCGATACCATGTATCGTCATAGTTGTTACACTTTAAATATAAAACTTTATATTACGATTGTGCATTTTACAAAATACACGGTGTTATAACAGTGAACATACTATCAGTGACCTTTTGTGATAAAGTAATAGTTTGTCAAAATCTCTCATAAGGCCTTGCTGCTGAAAATTTTAATCAATTTAAAAGGAGACTGATTAATGTAATTAGTTTCCTACTTCAAGAAACAACAAAAAAATTAAATGAGCAACAAGGACCATAAAAGATATAGAGAGAGGGCTCTGGAGCAGGGCAGGCAGAAGATAACTAACTGCAGAAATGAATCTGAGAAAGACTCAGTGTACATGAAAGAAATCTTGTCCTGAGCATATAAAAATAATGCTCTCTTTTCATCTTTCCTGCCCTAAAACACAACCATTTTTAATGTAAATAACATATAATATGAAAGAATTTTATTTGTTTTTTACTAACCTTCAGCACCTGGGCCTCTGTATTACCTTTGGCCCCCAAAAGCACCATGGCCAGAGCAGCAGAGACACTGACAGGAGAGAAGAAAACATTTCCTGTTGGGTTGGCCTCACTAAACCTTCTGAGCAGATCAAGTGCAAATCTGCTGTTGGCATTAGGTAGGTTCTCCATGGTTATAGCTGAAAAATAAAACAATTGATAAGGACCCTGGGAAACACTCTTCAAACACCTTGCCTAACCCTGTGTGACTCAGAGAGTAATGTCTGGATTAAACAGATTGCAGCTGTGTACAGAAACAGCAAGAATATCATTGTCAGTGTCATTCTCTTCTCAAAAAAAAAAAAAAATCAGTCACATTGAAAAAGCAGGGGATTTTTTCCACGTAAATTGTATATTCCAACCTTTCTTATCACACTAACTTTAAAGAATCATTGAAAAAACTCCTTGTCTTCAGATCTGAAATTTGAAGTCCGTGTTCTGGCAGGACTGCAAGTTGAAGTCCCTCAGCCTCACAGACCCAGCACGTCCCGAGGACCTCACTCCAGCAGCTTTCCCCCAACTCCTCTACCCACATCCTGCACAGAGGACATTCGCAATATCTGCTCAGGGGCATTCAGACTCCTTTCAGCAACCTGCCCGTCTTCATGGCCCTGAAAGGTGTTAATCCTGCCAAAGATTCCGTGTACGCTGACCTTCAGTACGCAAAACACCGCTGTCTTCTCCAGCCTGCGCTGCCGAGAGCAAGAGAGCTGCCTGCCCGCTGCATCCAGGAACAAACACACCCGACTCCCAAGGGGGCTGGGCGGCCCTAAAGGCTCGGGCAGGGAGAGCGAGGTTCTCAGAGCTGCAGGTGACCTACCGGTCAGCGAAGGCAGAAGCGAAGTGCAGAGCAGAAAAAGCGTCAGGACTGACACTGCACGGTCAGAGCAGCGATTCATTTTGGGGAGATGCTCACGAGGAGGCCCTTGGAGTGGGTGAAAGGTGGAAGGGCTGTGTCAGGCACAAAAAAACACCCAAAGGCCACTGGCAGTACTGCTGGATGCTGTACAACCTTCCTGCTCGCCCAGCTCAGGTGCCGGCTGCTCTGTGCTTGCTTGCAGCCGGACTGTCGGTGTGACTGTTTCTGTCCTGGACCAACTGCGTGGAAGAGTTTACACCACAATTTGCGTGTTTCCTGCACAGTCTTTCTACAGGAATGGCAGAATATCACTTTCAGCTTCCTCCGACAGACGGGTAAACAGCTTTGCAACGTTCTTATCGAGCTCTATGCTAAAGAACGCCCACTAACATCCCTAAAATTATACGAACCCAAAGCGTATTTTCACTTTCGTTTACTTAGAACTCCGCTCTGCGCAAGCCTTTCACCCAAACCAGCTGTTTTACAGCCTCCATCCAGGCTGCCCAAGAAGCGCCCCCCGCGCCGCAGAGACCACACCGCTACGGAAGTGCGGAGGAAAAATTTCCCCGTCTCGTCCCGTTACCGCCTCTTTCCTGTAGGATGCCCCGGGGAGCCCCACGGAGCCCAGCGCAGCCAAGGGGCCGCCTGGCCGCCTACCTGCCGGGGCGGCGGGAGCGGAGCGGGATGGGATGGATCGGAAGGAGCCGAGCCGGGCAGTGACACCGCCGGGACACCCGAGGGGACCCTGCCGGGCCGGGGGGGGCGGAGCGAGAGGCGGGGCCGCAGGTGTTACCCCGCGACCGCGCTCGTCCCGCTACCCACGGGGAAGCCTGGGTGTCCCGGCGGAGGAAAGGGGGAGCTTCGGGAGCGGGAATAACCAACAGACCTCTCCTGCGCGAGCGGTACAGGATCGAGGGTTTTTTAGCCCCGTGGGACAAGCGCACCGCGGCCGCTTGGGGCAGCGCGTCTCTGTCTTCCCACCCTGCGTCTCTATTTACGCTCAAAATTTTAGGTCAGTCATCTTTGCCTTTTTTTTCCCCCCATATTAAAGAAAGTAAAAGCATGGAGGGTTTTCTTCGCCTTATCGCGATCTTTGATCTCCAACAGCCCTCGGTCTGGCCACCAGAACATACAATGCCTGTATTGGTTTCGGGTGCACAGCACCAGCCCTCTAACTGGAGTGCATGACATGCGTCCTGGTGACAAAACTGTTCGGTGTCACTGCTCTTAGAATAATGCTTTTACTTTCTTCATCTGAGGCAGCTGGGTTACTGTGCACTGAATTAAAGGTAGGGCCGTCTAGCACCTTTTGATGACGACCAGCAAGCCTTGATTTGAAGCTGTGCACAAAAACCAGAGGCAGCGTTGCACTCCTGCCCAGAAACAACCAATTGCTTAGGGAACCCTTTGCCGGAAAGCCTTGCAAGGCTAACCCCTTCACTTCATGGCAACCCAATTAAGCAGCTCAGGTTTCAAAATCTAGAAAATTTCATGTTTAACAATGAATATGAAACAAGCTACATAGAAGCTAGTAATACTATAAAGGAACAACTGGGGTTTTTTAATTCATAAAACTGATTTTTAAAAATGCACAATTTATGGTTGAAAAAAGGAACAGACTCCTACAGTGCTTTTATTATTTCAGGAACAGAAAGCTCAAAACACAGCCCTATGTCAGGGAACTGTTGCAGCTCTATCATTGGTATTATACCATTAAACCACATTCTTTGTTAAAGGACTAGAACCAGGAGACAGGTAATAAACCCAGGGGTGCTATGGTGATGAAACAAAGGTTCTCAACCCACAAACACCCCATAAGGACATCTGGGACAAAAACATACTTTCATTCCCATTCCTGCCCAAGTCCTTGTCCAGTTAGTAGACAAAAAAAAAACCATCTAGGCAGGGTGCTCAGCAACACCTGGAACAGGCTGCAAAAGACTCCTTTCAGCTCTAGGGAATGGATCAAGGCACTAAATGGATGAGACTGGAGGAAGAAAGGGGAGTGCAGCTAAAAAGGTGCTCCAGCCTTGTCAGAAGCAAAAGTAACTTCTGCTCTCTCACGCGCTGTCAGTGCCCGACTCGGCCTCATGGACACTAAAAGTCAAGTCAAGGACAGGAGAAGCCTTCGCTGAGCAAGTGGGATGTTACTTCTGTCAGCAAGAACCTCCACACAGGTGCACAGGGAGAGAGGTGTTTTACACAGCGCTTGCTGTGGAGCTCTAAGCAGCTCTGTTATTCTTGCCAAGCCCCAGATCAAGACCACAGAAGAGGGTTCAGGCACAGCTCAAAGAGGCAATTAGTGCAAAAGGAGTCACCCTGTTCTAGAGAAATCTTTATTGTGTAATGGCCCCTATCCTGCCAAGACAACTCCTCTTCAGGGAGAGCAAAACCTGCCACAGAACAAAATGCTGGAAGATTTGTTGTGCCGGATGAAGAAGAGGAAGGGATGATCAGCAGTGAAATCCGGAATGATCCTTACACTGGTCGTGAACATCATTATTGCCGCTGTGGCAGCAGCTGCTTCAGTGCCTTCTTCGTTGACTTCCACAAAGGACTTGTGAACCACTTCAGAGAGCACCAGCTCATTGCCAGATGACATTCCCGAGAAGTCTGCCTTCCCCGAGTCAAATGCATCAGGCATTCCCATGCAGCTCAGAATGGGTTTCAGATTATAATCTTCTTCCAGTTTAAATCTGGGTAAAGACACCCTCACCTCTGTAGAGTACATCATTTCAGGACTGATCCAGTCTCTCAGCTTCTCATATGTAAGTTCTCTTTCCAGCTAAAAAAAAAATCCCAAATTTACGTAATTAATAAGAGAATAAAGTCAATGTTACATGGCCAAAAGTAGCAACTACTGTGTTTGTTTACATAGTACATAACATGTTTTGTTGGGTTTTTTTTACATTCTTCCATATGAGAAACAAAGGCACAGAACTGCTGACAAAGTCCCAAACAAACGGATCCCAGTTCTTCTTCAACCAAAGGTTTGTCCTTATGGTGACAGGATGATGAAAAAGTCTGCTCACAGGGCCCTTCACAGTCAGCGTTAGAAAACCTTATTAATAAACTCCTTGCCAGAGCACAAAATAGCCCAAACTTTTATTCCATCTCCACAACAGGAGAGATCCTACCCTTTCCTGTCTAGGTGCTGTACCAGACTTTCTTCCCTGGAAGGATACAGGCTCTCTTTGCATTCAGCTCAACAACTTACTCTTTCCAAGCCCGTGGATCCATCCTGGATTGCATCAGGGAGCAGGATGATCATGCTGAGTTCATTACCGACATAGGGCAGCTCAAGGATTTTGGTCTGCAAGTCTCCAATATAGGTCATGTTAAATATGTCTGTCTTGAACATCATCTGCACAGGCTTGGTCTCATTCTAAAAATTAAGAGATGTCAACAGTTAGTGCTGAGCTACTGTGCTGGTCTCAAAATACAGAGCAGGCAGCCAGTTACTCAGGGCTTTTGAGAATTTAACCAAAGAGAACTAATCACACACCACGGAGTACAGCCCCACCGCGGCCTTTTCTAAAGCAAGAGGTAAAACCCATCGATACGCAGTAGCACTGCACAATATTCCATCACAAATCAAAAGGCAGATTATTCACCAGCACTACATCCTGTTGCTGTTGCATCTTGAAACCTGGCCCTAGCTTTGCATTGGTCCAAAGACGAGAAAACAGAATTGTGTCCCTGGATACTCTGCCAGCTTTTTCAACACATTTCAACAGTGAGAGGGCAAGGTCCCCAAAACCAAGTCAGTCCAGCACTCTCTGAAGGGCTGCAGTAGGTAGGATGGGGTGAGCAGTAACATTCCCTGTTGAAAGAGTGGTATTAACCATTTCAAACATTCTGGGATATGTTTCACCACTGGGGGAGGGACACTTCCAAGTCAACCGGGAGGGCTTCTGTTCTGCATAATGTTTCTTTGAAGCAGGTGAGTTAAGGAAGGCATGTTAGCAGTTCTTGTTCCTGACACCGGAGGCCAACCCAGAGGTGCAGGGGATCCTGAGGGGCAGCCATGGCCTGTTCATGACAGTAGCCAAGCCTTCCTCACTAGCCCTGATCTGCTTCTAAAAGCAAGACAGTAAAACACGGAGGTCTTCACAGGAGATTTTTCTCCCATTTCTTTTGGATCAGTTCACTGGTAGAAATGCAGCAAAAAACCACTGAGTGAAGAAGACTTAGATATACAAATTTCTGGAGGAGTATAAGTGCTCTTTTCTGCCTAAAACCTAAAGAAAAATATTTTTCTGATCAACTCCAGTTTTAGGCTGAAATAAGCAAGTTCACTAATTCTGTGAAATTGTTCATGACACTGAAATAACCTGACAACGTTGCTCAAGTGTTCTCTCCTCATCAGTTCTAAGTCCTGTCATTACGTAGAGGGGTAACGTTCTCAAACAAAGAAGGGTTAAAGGAAAAAAAGGAGAGAGAGAATGAAAGAAATACTTGTTAGATTAAACTTCCTAGTAATTACATGAAACTTTACAGAAACTCAACAAAGAGAGCATCCATAGGAAAGGGAGGGGGCATAAGGAAGTTCATACAGCCTAACCAAGGTCACCCTGCTTGAATGTTTTTTCTTCAGAATGCTATGGGTTCATTTCAGATTAACAGCATATTCCCATCATTTCAGCACATCATACCTTGTTAATATGAAATGGCCTTTCTGCCGTTCCCACTTTGTTGAACTGCTTTTCCCAGTTGCCTTTGAAATAGATGGCATTCACCAACACAAGTCTGGTCAGGGAATCAAGAACCCCCTCCGCCAACAGGTTCTGAATTTTACCTTTATGATACAGACAAACAACATTTCAGAGTTGGACACATATCTAATTATTATCCAGTAGACTATCGACTCTGCACTTAAGACACAAGAGAGAAGAGAATTAGGTACCACACAGAGCAGGAGCTCAACAGTTGGGTTGTTTTAATTCACAACCTCATATCCTGAAATAGCTCTTTACCCAAGCCATGGCCACCAGGAAATACAACAGGGCCCTTTGCAAAGCACTCACCTTCAGTCCTTTCCTCTACCCAGCCATTGATTTGTTTTCTGGAATCCTCCCAAGCGTTCATGAAGTCAGTCGGTTCCAGTCCAGCGTGGTAGGATTTCTGACTCGACTCTAGAAATGACTAACAGGGACATGCCCAACAGATTTCCAGCAAGAGATTTGGCTCTCATTCAGACATACAGGATTCTTAAACACACCAAGAAAATCTGCCTACTTTCCTCCCCCAGCTTCACATAGAACACTTAAAGTTCTGGCTGACATTTATAAGATTTATACAAACTATTTGAACTAGGAATTGTCCCCTGTATGGTTTCAGGTCAAATGGCTTATTTACTGTGCTACAAACCTCTATGTAACTTCACTGACAAATGAAGTGGCTGCTGTTTTCGTGGGGTTTTCTTCATGGTTCAGCGAGAGAACATATGATTTTCTAAGCTACTCTCTACATAAATTTAATTGTTACACTTCTCAGACTAATGGAAAACTTTTAGTTCAGTTGAGAAATTAATCTTTCATAGACAGGATAAATCATCCCTTCTGTCCGATTTAATATACTTATAGCTTTATTACCCAGAGGCAATGTTTGAGACTAGAGTCCGGGTACTTTTTGTCTACTAGACAAATGAAACAATAGCACTCTTCATAAAAGAATCACTGGAAATGACACCCAGAGGAAAAAAAATAGAGCCTTACAAGTTCTTGCACCTAGGGAAGCATTGAAAGAAACATGTGTAACACAGTATCTATTATCCTCATTTAGATCTTCTGATAAGGAAAATCTTAAAAGTCCTCTATTGTTCTCACAATGCTATCTGGATCACTTACCTAGGAGACAAAAACTACAAAATACTGCCCATGCTGAAGAGCAGTAACAATTCTTTTCTTTGGTCATATTTCCACACAATGAAGGAAAAAGAAATACATCAAACATGTCCCACAGCCAATGGTGTTAGTGGATCACAGAACCCTAGAGGTGTAGAGACTGATGGATTTTACCCTACTTTGCAACATTCAGGGTATCTGAAAGGGGATTCTCCAGATACCAGGTGCTGGCATCATCTACTGCATTGCTAGTCCTCAGCTCAGAAAATTTGGAAAGCAGAGCCCAAAGCCTGCCTTTGACCTCCAAACCAAACAAGTAGCAAGTACATTCTAGTGGGGGCCCCTGGTGGTCTAGTGTTTAGGTTGCAGCACTCTCATTGCTTCGACCCAAGTTCAAATCCCGGCTAGGGAAAAACTCCCCCGGGCAGATGGAGCTTGTCAGCCCTGTAAGGCCATCCATCTAAGAGAAGGTCACTCTAAACAAACCTACGTCCTGAGGACCTCACTGCCAATGTCCAAGCTTGCTCAGCCCCAGCAGATGAACCTCAGGATTAAAGGGTGGGCTCAGTTCAGCGCACACTGTGTCTCACCTAAAAAAGCCACTGCGCAGACTCGAAGGGTTTATGACCTTTCCCAAATCTTTGCTCGCAAAGACTGGCCATACATTCTAGTAAGAAATGCCACACATTTCATGGTTACTTACTGGGAGAAACTCAAACGTCTTTTCCCCATAAAGCCGGTTTGCAGTTCTCAGGATGTATTTGGTGTTTGGATCGTTAATTTCAGAGAGAAGGGATTGATACCCATTGTGAGCATCCTCAGCTTTGTTCAGAGAAAGCACCTGCACAAACACAAACATCCTCAATATGCATTCTCAAAACACACCTGCTTCAGCACAATGACTTTTAGTTTTAAAGGACTTCTACGTTAAACACTGTGACTTGAAGCCAAAAGATTTTTCATCCCACCTCCCATCTGGAGCTTCTCATACAAGGCACATAAGATGCACCCAGCCAGACGTTGTCAAAGGAATAAATTAGGGAGCACAAGACTCAGCAATACTGATTTTCCTTCCATCAAGCCAAGCACTGGAGGATCACAGAATGCCTGAGGTGGGAAGGGACCTCAAGAGACCAGGGTACAACAACCTGCCCAAGCAGGGACATCGACAGCCAGCAGCTCAGGACTGTGTCCAGATGGACTTGGAATAACAACAGTATGAAAAAGATAGGATTTTGGAGTCAATTTAATAGATTTAAATGGTAGCAAAACAGGATATTATATTCCTCTTCCGCTTTGCAAAAAGGGCAAACATCATAACACAAATGATTGACTGTTCATTTCATGCTGTCATTTGCATATGTTAAACATATGCCAAGCAGTATTTGCAAACTGAGCTAGATTTAACAAAAAACTAAACCAAGGCCCAGTTACCACTTTGACATGGAAACAGCAGGGATTTCTTTTTTTTATGTGCCTGGATTCCTTTTGAAAACATGTGTCATCTCATCTTAAGTTCAAGCAAGAAAACAGAAGAAACTATTACACATAGCTAGAGATTTATCCAACCAACAAATAAAACCCCAGATACCTCTCAATTAAATTTGGAAAGGAGATCTATCTCTGTGAAAATAATCAAAAAAACCCACCCACAACAAAACCTTGAAACCTTGAAATTTCTACTAAACAAAGATTCCCCTATACAAGCAATGAAAACAGGTTGTCCTTACACACACACACCCCTCCCAACGGAAGATCTCTGCTCTCTCAGACCACGATGACAACCCCAGTTTAGCAGAAGTGCACGTCACAGACTGTAAGACACATTTGTTGATCAAATTCAATCCAAGAAGTCTATTGTCACCTACCTTTGTTATCTGGGCTTCGGTGTTACCTTTTGAACCCAGCAAAACCATAGACAAAGCAGAAGAAATACTAAAAGGGGAAAAGAATAGATTCTGACCACTTTTCTTCTCACACAGCTTTCTTAAGAGGTCCAGGGCAAAAGTGGTATTTGCTGCACACAGGCTTGCCATGGTTTCAAATCTGGCAGATAAAACACAGAACAAGAATGGATCGAATTTATTTGAACACAAAAAACCTGGTTCTCTCTTTCACATTTCCCAGCATAAACTGGCCAGCAAATGTCAGCATTCGGCTGGAAAACTATCGCCTGAATGGAAAACTGATTTGTTGGCACAAGCACCTTAAACCCCATACAACTCTCTTGAGTTATTTTAGGGATTTACTGTCTGCTTTTGTATTTCAATCCCATACCTATGTAATATTACATCTTTTGAGATGATCAGGCACAACAGGATTCTGTTCAGAACTCACTGAAAGAAAGCTCTCTTATCTCACAAAGAAAATAATTTGCCTTTATACAAACACCAGACCAAAAAGTGAGACATCACAACGGCCAAATTACAAACTCTTACCTTCTCTAAGTCTATAGATCTTCAGCTGTACCTTCAGCTTACTCCTGCGTGTGCATGCTGTGTTTTAAACAGCTGGGCTGGGAGAAGTCAGCAGAATGACTTGTCCTACAAGATAAAAAAGGAAAGAAAAAAAAACTAATTTCATCAGCATGACAGATTACAGCAATTTCCTACTGTAGCATAAAGAAAAAATCAAAGTCCATTTCAGTTCCATTTTATTGCCTACAACACGGAAACACACACAATAAAATCTTGGTGCCTGTCATCCTCATCTCTGTAGGTAGTTAACTTCAGATTAAACCACACACCTATAAAAAGAGCAATAAATACTAGAACGCTGAGTTAACCACAGATAAGTATCATGAATCATAAGATAGCAGCTGGCAGTACATGTCTCCATGTTTTGTTCTTCCCTTAAGGCAGGGCCTACTGTTTATACGTTGCCAAAAAATACAAAACCAACACCTTATTCATACTACTGATTCATTATCTCAGATAACTAGGTGAAAAGTGCAAGTTTCTGCATGCATGGTTTTCCACCCAAGAAAATTTCTTGATAGGAGCTTCACTATAAGCAGTAGCAATTTTCTCCTGTTTCTCTTCTCCCATAACTGAAAAAAACGCTAACCAAACAAAGAAACCAAACAAGATTAGATGGAAAGAATCCTCCAATTGTGTCTGAAACATGTAACTTAAGTACTTTATAGCGTAAGTAGGAGACACATAGTGTTCATGTTAGCTGAAGTGAAAACCGGAATTTTCCTAATATCCCAATACCTGCAGATTGCTAGCAATAAAGTCTTTTGACCTCCAGGTCAAAGCACACAGGAATAGTGACAGCAGCAAGCAGTTATTTCTGCAGGGCTTGCATGTGTAGTGCCAGGTCTGCAAGTTAAAGTCGTTCAGCTTCCCAGGCCCAGCACACCCCACACATCTCACTCCCCCACCTTTCCCCCTGCTTCTTACAGCACAACTGTCCAATTTGGCTGCATCCTTTCAGACCATTTCAAACTCCTACGTGGAGGCGTTTGCACCAGAACGTGGGGATTTCCAGGACAGTCTTCCTACAGCAATTGCAAAATATCATTGCCGGCTCCCTCCGACAGAGGGATAAACCCCCGGCAGCTTTGCAATGCTCTTCTAGCAAAGAAAAACCACCGCCACCTTCCCGCCCCCAAAGCCAAACCAATACCCGAAAGCGCACTTTGATTTCCTTACAGCAGCCGAGCAAGCCTTTCACCCAAACCAGCCAGCTGACGGCCCCCACCCCACCCTGCCCGAGAACAGCCCCGATTTTGCGCGAAGACGAAACTTTGCCGCATTTCTTCCCGTTACCGCCCCGTTGCCCGAGGACGCCCCGGGGCGGGGGTAGGGGCGGAGACCTGCGGAAGGCTGCGGAGCCCCGGCGCAGCCGAGCTCACTTGCCCGCAGCCCTGCCCGGCCGGCGGGAGCGGCGACAACCGCGGACACACCGCCCGGGTGGGGCGGGGACCCAGGGGCGGGGCAGGGCAGCCACACAGAACCCAGGGGTGCTCTGTCGAGAATCGTTCTCTTCCTACGACAGATTTAAAAACGTATGTATAAGTTACGGTTGAAAAAAAGGAACAGAGTCCCACAGCGCTCGTGGGTTTTTTATTATTTCAGGAACAGGAACTCCAAAACACAAACACAGCCCTGTGTCAAGAAAGGTGTTTCAGCTGTGGCTTTGGCATTATACGGTTCAGCTATGATGTTTAAGAAACTATGAATAGGATAAATATATAACGATAGCAAAAACGTTAAAGCTTTGTCATTCAAATATTGCAGAGGCACCATATGCTCTTTTGTTACATTCTTTGCTAAAGGACTAGAACCAGGAGAAAGGTAAACCCAGGAGTCCTGTGGTGATGAAACAAAGGTTCTCAACCCACAAACACCCCATAAGGACATCTGCTACAAAAACATACTTTCATTCCCATTCCTGCCCAAGTCCTTGTCCAGTTAGTAGACAAAAAAACCTGCTCAGGAACACCTGGAACAGGCTGCCAAAGACTCCTTTCAGCTCTAGGGAATGGATCAAGGCACTAAATGGATGGGACTGGAAGAAGAAAGGGGAGTGCAGCTAAAAAGGTGCTCCGGCCTTGTCAGAAGCAAAAGTAACTTCTGCTCTCTCACGGGCTGTCAGTGCCCGACTCGGCCTCATGGACACTAAAAGTCAAGTCAAGGACAGGAGAAGCCTTCGCTGAGCAAGTGGGATGTTACTTCTGTCAGCAAGAACCTCCACACTGGTGCACAGGGAGAGAGGTGTTTGCCATGGCACTTGCTGTGGAGCTCTAAGCAGCTCTGTTATTCTTGCCAAGCCCCAGATCAAGACCACAGAAGAGGGTTCAGGCACAGCTCAAAGAGGCAATTAGTGCAAAAGGAGTCACCCTATTCTAGAGAAATCTTTATTGTGTAATGGCCCCTATCCTGCCAAGACAACTCTTTTTCAGGGAGAGCAAAACCTGCCACAGAACAAAATGCTGGAAGATTTGTTGTGCCGGATGAAGAAGAGGAAGGGATGATCAGCAGTGAAATCTGGAACGATCATTGCAGAGCCAAGGACCAGTCCAGCCGTGGCAGCAGCTGCTTCAGTGCCTTCTTCGTTGACTTCCACAAAGGACTTGTGAACCACTTCAGAGAGCACCAGCTCATTGCCAGATGACATTCCCGAGAAGTCTGCCTTCCCCACGTCAAATGCATCAGGCATTCCCATGCAGCTCAGAATGGGTTTCAGATTATAATCTTCTTCCAGTTTAAACCTGGGTAAAGACACCCTCACCTCTGTAGAGTACATCATTTCAGGACTGATCCAATCTATCAGCTTCTCATACGTAAGTTCTCTTTCCAGCTAAAAAAAAATCCCAAATTTACATAATTAATATGAGAAGAAAGTCAATGTTGCATGGCCAAAAGTAGCAACTACTGTGTTTGTTTACATAGTACTTAACATGTTCTGTTGGGGTTTTTTACATTCTTACATATGAGAAACAAAGGCAGAGAACTGCTGACAAAGTCCCAAACAAACGGATCCCAGTTCTTCTTCAACCAAAGGTTTGTCCTTATGGTGACAGGATGATGAAAAAGTCTGCTCACAAGGCCCTTCACAGTCAGCGTTAGAAAACCTTATTAATAAACTCCTTGCCAGAGCACAAAATAGCCCAAACTTTTATTCCATCTCCACAACAGGAGAGATCCTACCCTTTCCTGTCTAGGTGCTGTACCAGACTTCCTTTCCTGGAAGGATACAGGCTCTCTTTGCATTCAGCTCAACAACTTACTCTTTCCAAGCCCGTGGATCCATCCTGGATTGCATCAGGGAGCAGGATGATCATGCTGAGTTCATTACCGACATAGGGCAGCTCAAGGATTTTGGTCTGCAAGTCTCCAATATAGGTCATGTTAAATCTATCCTTCTTGAACATCATCTGCACAGGCTTGGTCTCATTCTAAAAGTTAAGAGATGTCATCAGTTAGTGCTGAGCTACTGTGCTGCTCTCAAAATACAGAGCAGGCAGCCAGTTATTCAGGGTTTTCGAGAATTTGACCAAAGAGAACTAATCACACACCACAGAGTACAGACACAGCACTGTCTTCTGTACATCACTAAGATTCACTGAGATTTAATTCTTAATTACAAAGTTAGAAATCTCGGTGAAGATTCCTCTAAGGAAATATGGCAAATATGTGTCCTTGCCCTTTTTCTCCCTGAAGAACTAGTGACAAGCCCTGAACAGAGCTGCTAAGAAGCAGGGGCTCTGTTCCTCGCTCTAAATGAATAAAAGTAATTTCAATATATGGACTTAATCATTTTGAGTCCATGTGGTTCCAAGTACTACAAAAAAGAAGAATTTAAATATTTTAAAATTATACTAAAAATACCAAGGAAGTGAGAGCATTATTTTGAATTCTTACAAGTCATAAGCATAGTAAGGAGGGCAGAGATTTTCATTTTCTGCTCTCTCATTCCATTTCCACATGGACCAACAGCTACTATTGTTTCAATCATTATTTTCCTCCTTTTCAGTCTCATTGTGTCAGTAGGTAGTATGGGGTGAGCAGTAACATTCCCTGTTGAAAAAGTGGTATTAACCATTTCAAACATTCTTGGCTATTTTTCATCACTGGGGGAGGGACACTTCCAAGTCAGCCAGGAGGGTTTCTGTTTTGCACAATGTTTTTTTGAAGCAGGTGAGTTAAGGAAGGCATGTTAGCAGTTCTTGTTCCTGACACCGGAGGCCAACCCAGAGGTGCAGGGGATCCTGAGGGGCAGCCATGGCCTGTCCATGACAGTAGCCAAGCCTTCCTCACTAGCCCTGATCTGCCTCTAAAAGGAAGACAGTAAAACACGGAGGTCTTCACAGGACATTTTTCTCCCATTTCTTTTGGATCACTTCACTGATAGAAATGCAGCAAAAAACCACTGAGTGAAGAAGACTTAGATATACGAATTTCTGGAGGAGTATAAGTGCTCTTTTCTGCCTAAAACCTAAAGAAAAATATTTTTCTGATCAACTCCAGTTTTAGGCTGAAATAAGCAAGTTCACTAATTCTGTGAAATTGTTCATGACACTGAAATAACCTGACAACGTTGCTCAAGTGTTCTCTCCTCATCAGTTCTAAGTCCTGTCATTATGTAGAGGGATAACTTTCTCAAACAAAGAAGGGTTAAAGGAAAAAAAGGAGAGAGAGAATGAAAGAAATACTTGTTAGATTAAACTTTCTAGGAATTCTGTGAAACTTTACAGAAACTCAACAAAGACAGCATCCATAGGAAAGGGAGGGGGCATAAGGAAGTTCATACAGCCTAACCAAGGTCACCCTGCTTGAATGTTTTTTCTTCAGAATGCTATGGGTTCATTTCAGATTAACAGCATATTCCCATCATTTCAGCACATCATACCTTGTTAATATGAAATGGCCTTTCTGCGGTTCCCACTTTGTTGAACTGCTTTTCCCAGTTGCCTTTGAAATAGATGGCATTCACCAACACAAGTCTGGTCAGGGAATCAAGAATCCCCTCTGCCAACAGGTTCTGAATTTTACCTTTATGATACAGACAAACAACATTTAAGAGTTGGACACAT